GTGGAGCCTCCACTTGGAATTGATACTGTCCGGTCCGTTACGGTGAGTAGTGTCATTTCCGGTTTTGATCTGTATGGGTTTATATATGGGGTCCAATTCTACATGTTTGTTGATTGCATTACAGGTCAAGAACCATGCCTCTAGGAATTCCCATGCGTGTATACAAACCCATACAGATCAAAACTGGAAATGACACTACTCACCATAACAGACCAGGCAGTATAAATTCCAAGTGGAATAGAATAGCACGCTTCATTGGAGGCTCTACTGATGATGTTACCTACCATGGTGACGAAACGTCTGAACAACAACAAGTCAGCTCGGCGAACAAGTCAACAACCTCACCCACAACCCAAGCTACAGATCTTTGCCAAAACTATAAATGAGTTATCTTATCAGTATACTGGGGTGTAACCTGACAACAACTTTATGAAAACGCATTAAGTAAACTTATTTGCATATCCAATTACTTAAAACAAACAGCATCATGCTTGAATTTATTTTAAAGGGTGAATTCCTTGCCAGGTTAACTAGATATGACATCTAAAGATACAAACTGTGAGTGGGTAACCTGGGAAGAGCTCTGCAATGTGGCAGCTAGACAATGCAATTCTACTGGAATTGGGTCAAGTTACAATTCCGACACCTTATTTCACAGCCAAAGGCTATCTATTAAATGGCACAGCTAAATACCTAAATCCTTCCACAATAAATGAGGCATCATGTTTCCTCCCAAAACTTGTTTGCAGCCCAGAGCTCAAATCTAGTTAATGCTTCGAGTAAGGTTGTAACTGAGTTACAGGTGTATGTATTATTTAAATTTGGTTTACATGATTGAATATCACACAGCATATTCAGGACCTTTAAATTTGACCAGCATAATAAATGAATGCAAAAGAATTTGCTCTTAAGGGAATGTATTCTCCTTGCCAGATTGCTTTCCAGTGAGTCCTTGCAAAAAGTAATGAAAATCTGCAGCCAAAAAAAAACAAACAAACCACACTCACATCCCCTCCCTCCTCAAGAGGTGCCCAATATAAATTTTAATTAAGTGATTTATTTTTAAAGTGGGAATTCAATTGCCTAAAAACAAAGTTTTTATTTGGTCAACTGAATTGTTGCACACAAATAATATTTGCAAAAGTGGCTTTCTTCAAATGCAACTTCTCAAGGACATAGACGTCAGTGCAATCATTCTTCTTCAGAGCACACATGGCATTAGAGTTTTTTTGTCTAAATTCATTGTCGGGTTGTCATTAAAACAGAATATAAATATCCATCAAACAACTAAGAATGAAACAGTGATTTATAATGAGTCTGAAGGTAACTAAATTAAGCCAAACTATCTTAATATTTAAAAGTAACATATTTTCACTACCATGTTTCATCTCATATACAAACTTGCCATTTCAGCAATGGATAGCTTTGGAGAAAAAAAAACAGAGGAAAAGGAGTCAAAAGGAAGGATGAACCAAATTAAGGACTAAGGAAATAATGTGCTTTTCTTTTGTGCCTTTCATGGCCTCAACATATCCCAAAAAGTGTGTCATGTCCAATGGAGTTGATGTTTTGAAGCCCTGCAATGTACAAAACATTGCTTCTGTGATTAAACTCACAGACTGAGGCTCTGTCAGGCTGATAGATCCAGCTTGGGTCGTGTTCACAGACCTCAGCTGACTTGGGAATTGATCCAACACCAGTCTAGGCCTGAGAAGGGCAAAAGAAAAACACAACTTCTTCTCCTTGATTGCTATCCAGTGAGTCAAAGCAGAAGGTCTAAATTTGCGGATGTGGGCTGCAAACAAAGAATAACAAAAAAAACAGTACAGCACAGGAACAGGCTCTTCGGCCCACCAAGCCTGCAGCAACACATGATGCCTTTCTAAACTAAAAACTCCTAACCTCTCGGGGGCCCCTATTCCTCTATTCCCTGTCTATTCATTTATCAGTCAAGGCCCTCAAACGTTATTCTTGATTCACTTCTACCCCTTCCTCTGGTCGCACATTCCAGTCAGTTACTACCCTCAAAAAAAAAAAAAAAAACTTGACTCACAACTCCTTTAAACTTTCCCCTTTTTACCTTAAAACTATGGCCCCTACAAAGTGACATTTCTACCTTGGGAAAAATACACCAATTATCCATTCTATCCATGCCTCCAGTAATTTTGTAAACTTCTTTCAATTCACCCCTCAGCTTCTGACGTACAAGTGAAAACAAACCAAGTTTTTCCAACCTCTCCTCATAGTTAATACCCTCCAAGCCAGGCAACATCCTGGTAAACCTTTTCTGTACCATCTCCAGAGTCCCCACATCCTTCTGGTAGTGTGGTGACAAGAACTGTACACAATATTCCAAATGTAGCCTAACTGAAGTTCTATACAACCACCACATGAGAGTATAATTTTTATACTCTCTGCCCTGACTGATGAAGGCAAGCAAGCCATATGCCTTCTTGGCCATCTTACCCACTTGCGTTGCCACTTTCAAGGAACTATGGACTTGGATGCCTGGAACCCTCTATGCTGATGCTACCAATAGTTCTGCTAAATAGTCTATGCTTCTCTCCTGTATTAGACTTCACAAAATTCTTCGCTCCACATTTGTCCTGATTAAATTCCATCTGGCATTTCTCTGCCCAAGTCTCCAGCCTATCTATATCGTACTATATCTTCCGACAATTCTCCTCACTATCCACTGCTCCCCCAATTTTGGCGTCACCCTCAAACTTACAAATCAGACCACTTATATTCTCCCCTAAATCATTTATATATACTTCAAACAACATGGGTCCCAGGACTGACCCCTGCAACCACTACTGGTTACAGATCTCCAGTCAGAAAAGCACCCCTCCAACACTACACTCTGTCTTCTATGACCAAGCCAGTTCTGTATCCATCTTATCAGTTCACCGGGGACCTTATGTGACCTCACCTTCTGTATCAGCCTGCCATGAGGGACCTTCTCAAAAGCCTTGTTAAAAATCAAGGCTGCAGGTTACTACCTGAAAGGCTGTAAATCAGGAGAGGGGAGTGTGCAGCGGGACCTGGGCATCCTTGTGCACCAGTTGAAGGTAAGCATGCAGGTAAAGAAGGCAAATGGTATATTAGCCTTCATTGCGAGAGGTTTCAAGTACAGGAGCAGGGATGTGTTGTTTCGGTTATACAGGGACTTGGTGAGGTCACACCTAGAATATTGTGCACAGTTCTGGTCTCCTTTTCTGAGAAAGGATGCTCTTGCTCTCGAGGGAGTGCAGCGAGGGTTGACCAGGCTGATTCTGGGGATGGTGGGACTGATGTATGAGGAGAGATTGATGAGGTTAGAATTGTTTTCACTGGAGCTCAGATGAATGAGGGGGGAATCTCAGAGACTTAAAATTCTAACAGGACTAGACAGGCTAGATGCAGGGAGGATAGTCCCAATGGTGGGTGTGTCCAGAACCGAGGGTCACAGTCTGAGGATTTGGGGTAGACCATTTAGGACAGAAATGAGGAGACATTTCTCACCCAAAGAGAGTGGTGAGCCTGTGGAATTCATTACCAAAAGGAAGTAGTTGATGTCAAAACATTGAATGTATTCAACAGGCGACTAGATATAGCACTTGGGGCAAATGGGATCAAAGGTTATGGGGAGGAAGCCAAATTAGGCTATTATGTTGGATAATCAGCCATGATCGTGAGGAATGGCAGAGCAGGCTCAAAGGGCTGAATGGCCTCCTCCTGCTCCTATCTTCAATGTAGACAAGATCCATCGCTCTGCCCTCAATCAACTTTGTCACTTCCTCAACAAAGTCAATCAGTTCCGTGAGACAGAACAGGACCTGGCCATATCTCTGCCTGAGTCAGAGCAAGTAAGTGACAGAACAACTTCAAAGGATGGAGATAGTAGGAATTGCCGATGCTGGAGAATCTGAGATAATAAGATGTAGAGCTGGATGAACACAGCAGGCCAGGAAGGGTCCAGACCCGAAACATCAGCTTTCCTGCTCCTCTCATGCTGCCTGGCCTGCTGTGTTCATCCAGCTCTACACCTTGTTATTTCAAAGAATGGAACCATCATGCCATACACACCCCCTAACGTAACACTTCGGGGGGCGACAGAGAATTATTCAAGACGATGCAACTATTAGTAACCCAATAACATGACACTTGCAGTAAAAGGAAACTCTGTAAAATGCTGATAAACAATAAAAGAAAAATAAGCCAAATTAAGTAGTTCCATACATGTTTGAACACGACTCGCTGTCGAGTCTTCACACGGGTCGACAGCAACTTTAAAAATTGTTAATTGAGTGTAAATCAGTTCCATGCTGGTTATATTTACTGCATAAATGTCATCAAGAGACTAGCTGCTGAACACTTTTGCAGTGCACTCGAACCTCACCACATTGTTGAGCAACTCATGAGAACAAACATTCCCTTACTCCACCTGACAACTCTTTCAGTCAGTTGCTCGCCTCTCCAATAAATAGTCGATTTTCGAGATCTTCCAGTTCCAAAGCTTGTCTGCATTCCAAATATAGCCCTATTTTGATTACGTTCTCATCGTATAAACACGTGTCAGCCATTTACACAAATAGCATTCCTACCCCACCGCTCCCTGCCACCCCCCCCCACACACAATGCTGTTTAACTGTTAAAATCCGAATTTCTTAAAACTCGTTACGAGTATCATAGACACAAACAAAAAAAATCATTTTAGTGAACACTGCACGCTTTACTTGCGGATAAAACTACCAACCTGTTCAAAGACTCTGTGCTCAGTACCTGGACTTGTATCCTGCATAGTCTAGTACGTAAATTGGCTTCATTTACTCATTATTAAGATATGTGCACAAGTCAACTACAACTCCCACTAAGTTTACTTTCCAGGCACCAAGGTCGAAACAACTAATCACAAAGTCTGCGAGGCAAATCCTTGCCTGTAATGGTTCTCATTACTTAAACACGATCAGTGTCTGATACTCAACCAAACATTGGAGCTGGTAGGTTTGTGCGCTTACCTTGCAGACTCATTTTTAATTACCTCTCCCTGCTTCTGCCTTTCAACTGCTCCAATCCTTCAAATGCATGGCTCCTCCGCTCAAACTAAATGGATGACCCAGCTCTGGTTCAGTCGAGTGCTTTTAGGGTCGATCGCTTTTGGGATGCTGCCTTTGAGAAAACGAAACCCACATTGCTTCAAAGCTGCTATCAATCATATGGGCGGAAAATTGTCAAACCGCACCATCACGTTGAAATTTAGATGAACCCATGTAAACCGAGATTCTGCGCGCAATACAACCCCGACCCCGTGATCAAGGAGTCTCAAATAACAAGTTAGCTTAATCCACTTTTTTTTGTCGTACTAAATAAACGTCACTGACAGGCCCGAGATAATACAGGGGAATCATTTATCAGGCCATTTACATTAGAGCTAGTTATACATCTCGGTCGAGGCAAAATTGATCGAAAAGTACATGGAATCGAGAGCTACAGTAACTGGTTTGTGAAATCTAACTGGCCTGGGCGTTCAGCAATACATCGGAATTGTCAAATTGTCTTATGTTTTTGTGAATGGGAATAATGTATGAGTATGTTGCACTATTTGTAATATTGTATGTGAGTATGAGTGAGGTGATATAATTATTTTCTTCTCAATGCTTAGGTCATTAAGCACAAACATCAAGTCTACCACTCAGAGCTGTTGCTGTTGAAGGTGCACAACTGATGTCCTATGTGGATTTGAAGAAGGGTAAGGTGCTATTTGTCCCTCAAACAACATTACTAAAACACATTACCTGAACTATGATCACATTTGCTATTTGTGGGAGATAATAAGAACTGCCGATGCTGGAGTCAGAGATAACACAGTATGGAGCTGGAGGAACACAGCAGGCCAGGCAGCATCAGAGGAGCAGGAAAGTTGACATTTTGGATCAGGGCCCTTCTTCACAAATGGGAGCTTGCTGTGTGTAAACTGGCTGCTGCATTTCCCACGTTACAACAAGTTTTTTTTCACAAGGTAGCTATTTAACAGTAGCTACTTTTTACTGGCTGTAAAGCAGCTTTGGAGGTCTAGTGGTCATGAAAGGCACGATAAAAATGCTTTTCTTTTGTTATGATTGTGTAGGGACAAATGTGCTGGTAATCAAGCTCCACTATACTATTTGCGCTACTAGTCTAAATGTTTTAATTCCATTACCTAAATAGCAATTCATTTTCGTTTTTATGACTCTGCAGAATAAAGGAAACCTTCACCAGGCTTCCTTGATAAGCTCAAAATAATCCGTTTATTACAATACAAAACTTAGTCTTAAAACAAAGGCAAACATTGGTTAACATCCAAACTATAATCTGGATTAAAAACGACATCCCCTAAATCCCAAACATACCCTCACAATGCAAAAAACAGCAATCTCTGCAGACAGTATTTTTTAAATGGACAGAGAAAACATATCCCTGTTGGCCAATAAAAAGGATGGAGTTTGATGACTCCCTGAGACCACTCAGTTTCTTGTCGCTGATGTTGAATTGCTTGACAGCCTTAGACTGATCAAAAATCTTCAGGTTGAAATCAAGCTGGATCCACATCTTCAGAGAGTGGCCATCACTCAGCTTTTCAGGGCTTATATGGTCTGAAATACAGACATTTGAAAATCTCATCAGGTCTCCAAGAACTTCAACTGAGAGAAAGAGAGGGAGACTTGTAGCTCCTGAAGTTTCTTTCCTTACAGACTTTCTGTTTTCACAATCTAGGCATCAAGTCCAGAAAGAGCTAGGAGGAAACCATCCACACAGAGACCTCCATAGACTTGCCCAAAAATTAGGTTTTCTGTCAGTTAGGGGCCCTAAACCAAAGCGCTTGTCTACCTGAAAGTTTTGCTTGCCTTTTTTTCTCCAAAACCATTGGACTTTCTGTAAACAGCAAGTAAACCATAGCACACATTAAGTTATTTATCTTATTTTCCAAGAAAACATATGATAAAATGGTTTTTCAATCTAGAAAGTATCCAAACAGTTCTATAGGTTCAGTTTTTCACGCAGTCTATCCATAGAAATATGTAATAAAAACTGAAAGAACTGCAGATGCTGTAAATGAGAAACAAAAAGAGAAATTGCTGGACAAGCTCAGCTGGTCTGGTAGCATCTGTGAAGAGAAATCAGAGTTAACATTTTGGATACGGTGTTCTGAGGAAGGGTCACTGGACTTGAAACATTAACTCTGATTCTCTGATTTAGAGATGCTGCCAGACCTGCTGACCTTTTCCAGCAATTTCTGTTTTTGCTGTCGAAATATGTATTCAGTTATGATATAGAGAGAGACAGCCGAACCAAATCAGCTTCCCCACTTCTGTAACCGTAATAAAGTAAATTTAAAATACTCACTGACCCTCAAAATTGATCCCAATGATTCCTAACCAGACTCTTTGAATAACCAATACTAGATTTTGTGAATAACCAATGCCAGACACCAGGTTTCTGCAATAAACAATTTGTTAATAATACAGTAGCTTTAGCACAGCAAAGTTAAACCACAAGGTAACCTAATTAATTTCTATGATTTAAACGCAATCCTCTTTAATTCATGACCCCACTCTTACACACAGACAGTCAAAAGGACACAGTGTAGGGATAAACAAAAAGGGAAAACTAAATGAGATGTAATTGGCCCTTAATTGCCAGAAAACCTGATTTTGGAAAAGATTGTGGAGGCCTCTGTGAATGGTTTCCCAGTAACTCTTTCTGGACTGGAGTTCTGTTTTTACAATCTAGGCAGTCCGTAAGGAAAGAAACTTCAGGAGCTACAAGTCTCCCTCTCTTTCTGTCAGTAGAAGTTCTCAGAAACCTGATTACGTTCACTTGAGCAGACTCCACGTTCTGTAACATCACCAGCACATGGGATTATATCTTGCTTATTTTCTAATGACACTGATGCCTGTAGATATCTTCCAGTAGGCTCCAGGGAAGATTCTTCTAATTCTTATAACTGAGAATCTATTCTCTGCACTTTCAATAAGTTGATAATGAGAGGTCAACCAGAGAGCAATTAAACCTCCATCCTGTAACTTTCGCAGGCATGATCCTTCTGACTTAAACGACAGTTCAAAACCCAGTGCAAACCTTGACCTCTCTATGTTAGACTGACCATCTCCCTATGAGGTCCCAGTTAACATTCAACATATGCCATCTGTTTAAGCATTAGACCTCTCCAGAGTTAAAGCATCTATAGAACACTTTTTAACAAGAAGCAACCTGCATTTAACTTCCAGGCCTGGCCTCATGAACAAAAATACAGTTTATTTGTTCACTTTGTTTAAACAAGATGCAACTCATAGTCCAAAGGTCACCTTGAGCTCTCAGCTCACAGTTCACAGCTACAAATTAAAAATGATAAAAACAATAAAACAAAATAATGAAAAATCAATGAACGTTCTAATACGTTTATGAGTCAGTCAGATGTGACGATGAGGACAAGGAGATGATTCTCAGAAGATCAAAGATTATGTAAAACTGTTTTAATGTGTTCATAATCTTGTTTCCCTGAACAATTCCATCATGTAAGCATTTGAACTGGAGATGCTTTGATTTATTCAGTGAATTGGATTGCTAACAAGGATACTTCCTGTTTATCTTTCATAATGAAATTAGTCCCATCGCCCAAGCATATATAATTTGAATTACATACATATTATCCAATTTAGTTAACCTCCAGAAAGAGTTAAGTAATAACAGAAGAAAAGTTGATTAAACTATGGGAAAATTTCTCCCTATCACTGCACAGTAAATTCCATTAAACCTCAATAGCAGGTACATATCATCGACTCCTCATAAACAAAATGACCCCTCAACCTTGTAAATAATTAAATGATTATCTCCATTCACGTGGACCTAATATTTTATAATATTTTAAACAGACTTTGCAGAATAGACAGTTTTTATAAGCAACACGCTCAGACTGGATCTTTCTTAGCCTCATTGACTCATGGACTTAGAGATAATTACAGCACAGAAAAAGGCTATTCAGCCCTTCATGTCCACACCAGTCAACAAAGACCTGACTCTGTTAATCCTATTTTCCAGCCTTTGGTCCATAGTGCTGGAGGTTATGGCAATGCAAGTGAATATCTAAATAAGGCTGAAATGCTATGAGAGTTTTTGATGCAACCACCCTTTCAGACACTGAGTTCCAGACTCCCACCCTCTCTGAGTGAAAAAAAATCTCCTTCATCTTTTAAATGCCCCTCATCACCGTAAACACCCCTATCAAGTCATCCCTCAAACTCTGTTGTTCCAAGAATAGTGATTGTAACAAGGTCAGCCAGGTGGACCTCATAGAATATGAGTTCCCTGATTGGGGCTGTTAACCTGGTCCAAACAGGAGGTCTTGGCTGACAGATAGGAATAGGCGTGCCAGGTGTTCTGTTCACTCTGACCCCTCTGCCCCCTCTCTGGTAATGGGTAAGCGGAACTTCAACATGTTCCAGTTGTGACCTGACCATGTTTTGTACAGTTCCAGCATAACTTTCTTGTTCTTCTGTTCAATGTCTTGGCTAATAAAGGCAAGTATCCCATATGTTTTCTTAACCACATTTTTTTAAATTTCAAAAGTACACTTCATTCATAAAAATATTTTTGTATATGCAGTCACTGCTGCAGTTTGGTTCTGTACAGAAGCGTATGAAGGAACAAACAAACATTGAAGTTTGACTCTATCTAAAAAACAAAACCAAAGGCATTTCTTACTTGTACAAAACTATGTTTACATATATTTGAGACACTGTGAATCGGATAACTGAAAGGACCCACATTTACTTTCAGCAGGAAGACCTCAGACTGTGGTCTTTCCCCACTGCGCCTTGGCTGTCCCAAGCTTTAGTGCGTCCCTCAGCACATAGTCCTGAACTTTGAAATGTGCCAGGCTGCAACACTCGGTCGAGGTCAACTCTATGCTGTGGAAGACCAACAAGTTTCGGGCAGACCAAAGAGTGTCTTTTACCGAGTTGATGGTTCTCCAGATGCAGTGGATGTTTGTCTCAGTGTGCGTCCTGGGAAACAGACCATAGAGCACAGAGTCCTGTATCACAGAGCTGCTCAGGATGAACCTCAACAAAAACCACTGCATCTATCTCCAGATTTCCTTTGCAAAGGCAGATTCCCAGAGTGAGATGTGTGACAGTCTGTATCCTCTCCCACAGCTACTTCAAGGGTAGCACGCAGTGACGCAGGGTGTCCAGGTGTGCATGAAAGATTTCACAGGCAGTGCCCTTCTCACTAACAGCCAAGCGATGTCTTGGTGCTTGTTAGAAAGTTCTGGTGATGAGGCTTTCTTGACAGTCTGCTCAGTGAACAACCTGACAGGATCTACCCTCTCCTTTTGCCACAGGGTCCTGACAACACTGTGTGCTGATCACTTCCTGATGGACCTGTGGTCAAAGGTCCTTTTACTTACAAATTTTCCTACAAAGGACAGGTGATACAGAATGGTCCAACTACTTACAGTGTTCTGCGGCAACAAGGCCAGTCCCATCTTTTGCCAAACCGGGGACAATCAGGTACGTTGTGACACTTGGTGTTTGTGTACCAAGAGTCTACATACAACTTGATGCAGATACGCACAAAGGTGGCCATCAGGATGAGGGCAGCATTAGGTACGTTATTCCCCCCAGTAATCCAGCATTTTGTACATTATGTCCCTATGGACACGATCCACCTTAGACTTCCAGATGAAGGTGAAGATGGCTCAGGTCAATGCAATGGCACAGGACCTGTCCTGCAACTTTCAGTGATCTGTAGACATAGACATCAAGGTCCCTCTCTCAGAGGGTCCTCAAATTGACCCTTCTGCTCAGTAATACTGACTGCCTGTCTCAGGATTCTCACCCCACCCAGGCCTGAGGTGGGTTTGGAAATGAAGAGGGGAGTGGAAAATTGGACAAAGGTGGAGGAGCTAGACAGGCGATTAAGATACGTAAGGGCTCAACTCATGGTCATTGGTATAGAGAAAGGCAAATTTCCTGCAATCTACCACTGAGTCAGGTTCTCAATGATGCATTAGAGGCAGCTTCACATTGGGAGGTCTGAGCTGCATAACAATTAAGACTTTTTAAGCATTTTGCAGAAATTCACAATAATCATGAATCCCCAGGCAGAAGCCATTGCAGCAGTTTGTGGAGACAGATATCTCTATGACTGTTGTACCTGATACAGTGGTAGTCTCTCGGTTTCCTACTGGAGGAGTTACAGATGTTCTGCTGTTGGCAAAGTTTCAGCCTCAGTGAAAGATGAGTACAGTAACAGAAATAAACTAAGTGTGAGATCTCAGCAACAAGATGATGACGTTTACACTGATAGAGTGGAGAAGGTCATCAACCTTCTTTCTACATTGCTACAGATGGCTTAGACTTCAGTGAGAGAGATAGTAGGAACTGCAGATGCTGGAGAATCTGAGATAA